TCTAACCAAAACTGAAAATGACCTAAATTCATCAGGAAAGAATTGGAGAAAAAAATATGATATGCTCATTCAAACAAAATTATATATAGCCACTAAATGATACTAATATGAAAAAACTTTGAAAATAACTGAGTATTCAGTTTGACAGTTTATATAAAGAATTAGGAATATATTGAGAATTAGAGAATTTGTAAGAAATTGTTACTATGTTTATATGGCTTCTTATATATCATAAAGTAAAAATGGAAAGAAAATACAACTTCTGAAGAGTGGCCACTCCTTGGTAGGGAGATAGTGAATGAGGAACCCTAATAGTTCTAGCAACATTGTTTTTTTTTATTTTTCAATATAAAATAAACATGGAAAACAGTAATGTTTGTAGAATTTGTGAGTTGGACATCCACATATTTTTGTTATTTTCTATGCTCTTTGTATGTTTAAATGTTTTAGCCATACAAACACAATTCATATTGTTTTTAATTTGAAAAATTTTAAAAACTACAGAGAAACATTTCTACTTGGATCTTCCACAACAAAACTAGTCTCAAGCCAGGTTCAATGGCACATGCCTGTAATCCAAGCAACTCAGAAGACCAAGGCAAGAAGATCACAAGTTCGAAGGCAGCCTCAGCAACTGACCAAAGCCTTATTTCAAAATAAGAAATAAAAAGGGATGGGGCTACATCCCCAGTGGTAAAGGACCCCTGAATCCAATCCCTAGTACCAGAAAAAAAAAAAAAAACTAATCTCAAAGCCAGTGGACTTGAAGGAAAGGGGGTGGGGAATAAATACCACCACCTGTCAAAGGGAGAAGTGACAAAGAATTTGCCACCAGAATCTGTAATCCACCACAGAAATCTTTTCAATAATGTTTCAGCCTTTTGCTTAACTATTTCCTAGGATGAAGAACTCAATATGATAAAAGAAGAGTGCATTAAAGATCTAACAAAAATGCCCCACCTCATAAACCTGGAGCCACCAATTCTAGGCTCGTTGATCTGCCACTCCTGACAGACACTGTCCTTCTCAGCCTCTCAGGGATCTCAGTTACAACCTATATTTCTGAAGATTCTTCAAATGAGGGCATGCAGAGTCTGAATGACTATTTCTATTAAAGATGAAACATTCACATTTAGCAAAGTAATTTTTTAAATGAAAACAAATGTATCATAGCCTTCTTCATAAATAACACCAAAGCCTACATCTGAGTTCCTCGGTGACCTAAAGGCCAGAGGGCCTTACTAACCCATTCATGAGCCCTGGCACAGAGCACCCCACAATTTATCACCCCTTCTATCATTAAGGCTCAAAGAGACACCATCAAACAGAAAATCTCCACAAGTAACTTGATCCCTCAGTGTCCTTGTGAACAGAGCCCAGGACCCAGCTGCATTGGACTATCCTCCTGGCATCTGGGGCCCAGCCTTATCTGGGAAAGAAGGTGGCCAAAATGGAGCAGGTGACGACTATCATTGCTAGAGATATATATAAATAACTGGTTTCTTCCCCAGCAGACTTAAATAACAACATACAAAATCTAACAACATAGACCTCTCTCCACGGTGGATTGGATTGGATTTACTATTTTGGTATTATTGTTAATTTCAATAGGAGTGATAATGATTATTGTAGCTCTTCAGGTTTCATGTTCAAGTTCTTAGGTTTTTTTATCAGGAGTCTGAAAGCTAAGGTTCTTATGCCAAACCAGGCCTCTATTTTATAAAATTAAGTCTTGTTAGAATAGAGCCACATGCATTTGTTTGCAATACTGACCATAGTTGCTACCATCATGCTACAGTGGCAGTGAATCATATGACATAGGCAGCATAGCTCCCCAAGACTACAATATTTACCACCTGACCTGTTATGGTTTAGATATGAGATGTCCCCCAAAAGTTCATGTGTGAGACAATGCAAGAAGGTTCAGAGGTGGATTGATTGGGTTATGAAAGCTTTAACCTAATTGGTGTATTAATCCCCTGATAGTGGTAACTGTAAGCAGGGAGGGTGTGGCTGGAGGAGGTGGGTCATTGGGGTATGCCTTTGGTATATATTGTGTGAGCTGAGCTTAGTCTCTCTCTGCTTCCTAGTGCCATGGTCCCAGCCACTTTCCTCTGCCATACCCTTCCACCATGATAATCAGCCTAACATTGGGAACCAAAGAATGGAGCTGACCATCTATGGACTGAGACCTCTGAAACCACGAGACCCAGTAAATGTTTCCTCTTCTATATTGTTCTTGTCAGGTCTTTTGGTCACAGTGAAATGGCTGAGTAAAACACTGACCACTTATGGATACCAGTTGGCCAACACCTAGGTTAGAATGTCATGATTGTTGCAATTTTCTTTCAAATTGTTAACAAAAGAACCATGGTGTGTGTGTGTGTGTGTGTGTGTGTGTGTGTGTGTTTGTAAGAGAAACAGTAGAAATTTAGCAAAGTATTAATATTGGTAAATCTAAGTGGAAAATACATGAATATTCAATCTACTTTTCTTTCAACTTTTCTACATGTTTGCAATTTTTAAAATAAAATGTCTTGATAATAAATATTGCTTTATTTAATAACTCAGGAGAATCTCCCCTGAAAAATTGTAACTCCTGGGAAAGGTAAATCAGGAGATCAACAATAGTATATAACTAGCAATTGCAATAGGTTTAAAAATAATGGGAGCAATTTCATTCACAATAGCAACAAAAAATATGAAATCTAAAGTTTAAATAAAAAGGAAATGTGGAACACTCAAAGAAATAATAAATTTTAGCAAGATCCAAAAAATAGAAGCACAAAGATGTATATAATTTTTTGAGAATGTTTGGAATTAGATAGCTGGTGCATTTACAGATGTTTGATAAAATTTTAACAAAGACAAAAGGAAGCTTTGGATAATAGGAGAAACATAATACATTTCTAAAGAAGATTCAGTGGTTCAATATTGTTAAAACAGAACTATCACATGGATGCAATTCCAGTGAAAATCACTGTGAGTTCTATTGTAGAGAGAGGGAGATAGCCATAAAATAATTTAAAAATTTCCCTACCAGAAAAAATGGGTGAGATTAGCCAAGGACATTTTGAAAATGAAGAGTAATGGTAGGGCTCTTACCTTAATAGATATTGAATTTTATTTTAAAGCTATAATAATTAAGTAAGTCTGGCTCAAGAATAATAATTAATAGAAGAAAATGAAGAGATCCAGAAGTAAGTAAAAAGTAAAAATCTAATCAAGGCAGAAAGTCCAATAGAAATGGAAAGAAAAGATTATATAATAAATGATATTGGAATAACTGGCTAATCATTTTGAAAAAAAAATAAAGTTAGAGCCCTATATCATAGCACTCTCCAAAGTGAAGGAGAATTAAATGCAGAGAAATAAAATCATAAAAGATACATGAAACAGTGCAGGTTCATATTTTTATAAGCTTGTGATGGTACAGATCTTACTGAGCGTGAAATAAATGGTAAAGAAAAAGATGAATAGATTTGGTTAATAAAAATCCCAAGCTTCTGTACATCTGAAAACAACCAAGACTAAGAAAAATACAATAACTACTGAGAAAAATATTGTCAACATAAAACAATTTTAAAAACCCATGTCTTCACTATCTAATCATTATGGAGGGATAAAGATTTTTGAATGGGCAAATACAATGAATAGACACTTCTCAGAAGAAACATAATAACTCCTTCCAAACTCCTGCACTCAGAGGCTACACCAAACTCTAGCCTGGCTCCTAGCCCATAAGACCATGTCCCTAGGTGACTCCAGACACTACTTAAGTGGCTGCCTGAGAAAGCTCAATACTGCCAGAGCAATCGCGTACTATTTGATCTTGCTTGTACCTAGTGACAGCCCCTGACTGCCCTTTCTTAGAGTGTTTACTAAAAGGAGCTTACAGTAGTGAATATGTGTCTCCTACAACTCAGAAGTGTCTCTCTCAAGGACTTGAGAGCCATGCCTTAGAAATGTAATCATCTGGAAGGAGAGGGCCTCGGTCTCCTCCATGGGAAGGTGGAATCCTGATTCCAGCTGCCACCTAGCAGACACAGCTGCCTAACCGAATGCTCACTGGCCCTGGCCGGCCCTTTATAATTTCTCTCTTCTCTGACTCTGTGGAGAACCTGCTCTCCACCATCCTCCTTCACCCAAACATCCACATCCCCTCTACATGAATCAGAAGAGGCTCAACTCTTTTCCCTATTGTCAGCAATTACTGAAAAAAAAAAAAAAAACTGTTTTCACTGCTCTAACTAAGTCTGGCTGTGCTTATCTTTGACAATACAAGTTACAAAATAACACAACGTTGAGATTTAGCATGATTATTATTTTCAGTTTTCTGCTTATCTATATTTTGTTTTCTATCCAGTAAAATATATTGCTACTCTAGGAAAAAATTAAACTCTTAAAATAGGAATCAGGAAAAAGTATACTTTCAGGTAATTCAAACTTCCTATCAGAGGGCAGTAAACCTCCTTTACCAATTGCAAAGGCTCTCAGAACGAGTAGACATGCAGGTTATGAATAATGCCCTCCCCTAGAGGAGAGAGAGAGAGAGAGAGAGAGAGAGAGAGAGAGAAAAGCTGCTTTCAATCCTCATAAAAAGAAAAATAAATGGTGGCTCAGAGAAGTTCAGTAAGTCCCCAGGGTCATAAAGCAATAATAGTAAAGTTGGAATGGGATTCCAGGCTGGTCTGACCAGAAACCCAATTCTCTCAAAGCCCTCATTTCAGGATCCTTGGTTTGAGGTGCAGAAGACCTGAGTTCTGACCCAACCTCTATTGTATGCGACCTTGGCAATTCTCTTCCTCTGTCTGACCCTCAGTTTCCTCATCTTGCAAGAGATGGATGGGACCAAATGGTGTGTCAAGTTCCTTCTTCTATTTTCATAAAGCGCCCAGTACCAACCAATGGCCAAGGTCAAATCCAAACCAGAGATCAGCCACAACGGCCTTAGAGCTAGAGCAAGAGCCACCACACAGGTGCCCCATGCAGCGGCCCACCTTGAATTCTTCGTGGATGCGTTCCTCCAGGACTTTGGCAGCCTTGCGGTCCTCCATCTCCACTTTCCACTTCTCCGCCAGGATCCGGGCCTTCTCATTGGCTAGAGCATCCCGGAACTTCTTGGTGATCTCTGCCTCCTTCTGTTTCCTTCCAAGAGAGCACCAGCAGGAATCAGCTTGAGTGAAAAACTCAAGGATCACATCTCAGTGGGAATTCAAATAAGAACAACAAACAATCTTTCCTTGGTCTAGAGAATAGCGAATATTGAACGTCAACAAAAGGTTAACATTGGCCAAGATGGGGAGAAATAGGTACTCTCACATATGGGAAGGTTAAAATCAGTAGAATCATTCTGGAAGCCAGACAAACAAGATTCAGAAATCCCATCTCTCACTCAAGTATACACAGATGTATGAAGAAGATGTTCATTGGAGAATTTTTATAACATAATAAATAACTCAAATGTCTGTCAATAGGACCAACAAGTTGTATTTCTCAAATACTATACAGTAATCTTAAATAGTTTTGTGGATTTATATTCATCAATTTGTCAAGGTGAAGACTTTATAGAGCATGTATCACCTAAATGCTCACTGTAGTTATCTTAGGTGGTATGTCATTCTATAATCTATTTAATCTGTTCCTTATAGTTTTCCGTGTTGTTTACGGGCTTCTGCAGCTTACAATTAAAATATTGTCATTCAAAATTGGTGGTGGGGAGATGTCGGAGTCAATTTCACATGGATTTCCAAGTTTGGCAAAAAAAAAAAAATAATTATTTATGAGAGTCTCACTCTAACCTCACCTGGGACTCAACCGTCCATCTTGTGTGAGAAACGTGGATGATGTATAGAGGAACAAACAGACAACAAAAGTCAATCCAAACTGCTATACTGTCCCCCTGACAATTAAGTACAGGAAAGAGCCAAAGCATGTTGTATATACAATCAAGATGAATCCAACTACATGCACATCGGAAGGGCATTGTTAGGCTTATGTTACTGATGAGAAAACTGAGGACCCAATCAGCTAACTAGTAATTAGCAGAGCCAGGATTTGAACCCTCAGTTTTGCCTGATGCAAGACACTGACGCTTTGGTCCCTAATCTTAGCAGAGCTCAAAACAGCCAGTCAGATGGTACCTTTTACCTCCTACCCACAACCTATGGCCTTTGGCTTGTACCTACCCCAAGGCTGTGTGCTCAGGTCCCACCAACACCCCTCCTGCCCCAGCACCACTCACCAGAGCTCCTCGGCTTCCCTCTGTGCTTGCAGCCGCGCTCTCTCTGCAATCAGCTCCTCGGAGATCTCTTCATAAGGCTTGTCACCAGGGCCTTCACCCATGACCCAGACCCAGACCTCGCCATCTTCTCCCAAGAGCCACTGGATGTGTTTGTCACTTGCTACCTCACAACAGGAGGAGGAATAAAGAAGGAAAAAGAAACATATCTGATTTCCATTCGTTAGGAAATGGCACACAACCATTACACCCCTCATAGCAGAGCAGTGTCATCTACAAATACGATTCCAGAGAGATACTGCCTAAAGGCAGGTCCAAGACCCTCTCTTCCTTCCCTCCCTCTTCCCCTGGGGAGCATCACAATAGCTAAGCCAGCCAGCAGGAGCAGGTCCCCAAGGTGTCTGTGACTGAGCTCTCCTAAAATCCTCATCAAAGAGAACATAGATAACAGTGAGGCACTTTCTATAGGAACTGACTTATGTCACTCCTGGGCTGTGGCAGTGGGTGGTGGTGAACCTTCTCTGCAGTCTCTTCTTCCTGTCCACTAGCTAGAAAAAAAAAAAGAGAGAGAGAGAATCAAGGATGGTAGATTGCCAGATGAAGCAGCCTGATGCTGAGTCTCTGTGAACTATATCAGACAGTAACCTGAGCAAGAAATAAACCTGTGCTAGATTCAGCCATGAAGATTTCTCAGTTTTCCTACTGCAACAGATGGCATTGATTACTATGACTAATATGGAGATCTATCTCAAAAACCAGCTGCTGCTGAAACACATATAAACTACGCATCATTGAATTTCAGTTGAGTAGTGAGTGATGTCCATTAGGCTGAATGGCTGGAGATCCATGTCATGGAAGAGCAAAATATTTGGTAAAAATGTCAGACACTGTAACTTAAAAAGCAGGCCCAGGGCTTCCTGAACTTTCATTATAAGGGAAGAGGGTGGGAAATAAAAAGTTTGTAATGTGTGTTGGTTACTAGTGGCTGCGTTTGGCAAAGTGTCAAGAAAAGGAAATGAGTCTAAAGAAGAATTCAGGGCTTTGCAAGTAAAATGAGAGAGAATAGAGACCATTTAGAAATCTGGGACTTCATAGGATTGAGAAAAACATCTCCTTTTCTTTGAGGGCTCCAACTATAAGAGATGGAACTTTTAAAGTATTTTCATGTAGAGCTGAGTCAACTTTCTAAGGTGAATACATGATTGAGGACACAAAGCTCCATGGTGGTCACAAGATTGTGCTTCACCAGCCTCCTACTACTGAGGGCATTTTATCCTCTTGCTTATAAATCTTCTAGCAGCCTCAAGCATCATTTCCTCAATCTCTCAGGAAGATGCAAAGAGGGAAAGGCTTCTCCTAAGAAGTTTCATCTGTGGAGGAGAAAGCCCTTCACTGGGGCTCTTGGGTTTGTCCAAGGCCATGTTTCAGAGTCTGCTTCAGTCTCTGACTGAGCACACCAGGCTCATTCCTGAGACACACCGGACTCCTTGCCAAACTTTCTGGGACACCTCCAACCAACCTTCCTCCCTCTCTGCTTCAGTCAAAGTCAGGACTGCACTGCAGGGCAATGTCTCTCCCAGCCTCCAGCCAGCTCCTTGCCCTCTTTCTCTGACAAGCATTTTCCTTGAGGAAAAAAAAAAACAAAAACAAAAAACCGTGCATGGTGAATCCCTCCCCATTCCTGCTCCTCAGAGAAACCAGACTAACCCAAGTACATTGAGTGCCAACTCTCACAACTGTTTTACAAAGAACTTCAATGTAGATGCCTGCAGATGACAGTGAGACATGTAGGGGTCCAGGGGCAAAGAAATAAAGTCAACTGTAGAAAATGACTAGTAAAAATTTTAGATATTGTTCCTGGGACATGGAAGCCAACAGACGAGAAGCCTTTTGAGTTTTGGAGTATAGACTAGAAAGCCTTTGATTGTTCAAGACTCAAACAACTCTTGGGTGCCAACTTTAGTGAGCTGCAGGCGGGTTTCAAGATCATGCTGATCTGGGGAGGGTGTGGACCTCAACACTCACTCCAGAAGAGGTCGAGGTCAAAAATCAAGGAGAAAAAGCTTCCTCAAGGGGGTCAAGTCCATTCAAGGAATTCCTTCATGGCTAAGGCAGGGGAACTCTCAGAGCCCAGCCTGCAGGACTCAAGGATGCTGTAGACTAGGGAAAACAGGTCTCACGCTCTCTCCTTTCCCAAATGGCAGTATGCCTAGAGATATTCTGGCCTTGTTTAGTGCTGTATGTTGGTCTTAAGGGTGAGAGGTATTCAGGTGACATATCTATTTAGCACATTTGGACTTTATAGAGATAAATGTGGGGCCTCAGACCCTGTGGACTTCCAGGTGGATGCAGTGACTGGAATCCCTTTAAGAAGGTGGTGAGTGTATAAATGCTCAGAATGGCAATCAATGACAGTGACCATGCTAGATCCACCCTGCATTCCTTTTCTCTAGTCCACCAAGGACCACATTCCTCAGCTTTCCTTCAGTCCTGTGGGACCCTACAGCTGACTTCTAGTCTGTGGATTGTCAGGGGAAGTGACTGGTCTCACTTCCAGGCTGAGGTGATCAGCAGCTTCTGTCTTTTCTGCATTTTCTCCCTTGTCCACCCAGCTGGAAATAAATGACTCTAAGATGATAGAATTTCGAGAAAAAAAATCATCCTGATCCATGAGTCAATGTCTAAAACAAAATCACATAGAGGAGCTGCTGAACCCACACCCAACCAATGCAGTCAAGAAATAAGCCTTCATTGTGTAAATGTACTGAAATGTCAGGGTTTATCAATTGCACAAGGCACATTAATCCCCCTAATATAGAAGGGCACTGTTATATTTTTAGTACATTAAGGGCAATATAGTAATCGAGAACTAGGTATAATTCAGAGAGGCCATCACTACTAGAATTATAAAACTTTCAAAGAAATAATGAAGAAAAGTAAATGACTAGTGACATCCCCATCCTGTCACAGTAAGTAAAGGGAACAGAGAAAGAACAAAATACGTGTAACTATCACAGCAGATGCTATCAATTGCCTCCACGCCATCCACCCCAGCCCACCATCCTCCCTCACCACAGAACCCCAAGTTGTTCAGGGAGCAGCAGAGACACTCCCCTGCAGGAAAGGTGAGTTTCCAGCCCAGCCTCAAAGGACAAATAACAATGGATCTAAACCCATCATGTAATGTTATTCTCATTGGCAAGTGATGGATCTAAGAGTGACAAGATCCCCATTTCTAAAAAAGTAGATACTGGCAGAAGCCCCAGTGAAGGGCTTTCTCCTCCACAGGATGAAACTTCTTAGGAGAAGCCTTTCCCTCTTTGCATCTTCCTGAGAGATTGAGGAAATGATGCTTGAGGTTGCTAGAAGATTTATAAGCATGAGGATAAAATCACAGGCTGAGCATGGGGGAGCAGAAAGATAGACCAGGATGTGCCCCTGGAAATCTTGAACAACTAAATAAATCACCCATTTCAGGACATCTTCAGACTTTTTGTCCTTTGAGAAAAACAAGAAACCTCAAGAAATAAAATTCTGCAGTTATTAAACAAAATAAGGCAACCCAGACATGGAAGTTTAATTTAAGCAACTATTAGTTGCGTGTTCTGTTAGTTCTAGTCAAAGATACCTGCAGCCGATACAGAAAATTATGCAAAGACAATGAACCCTTAATATGTCCATTAACACAATAAACGTAGGCAGAAAGAATTCTCCTATTAAAAATCTGAGACTATTGAATTGATTAAAAAATAAATCCAGCTATGTGCTACTTAAAGAAAACCCACTTAAAAAAGAAAAGGTTAAAAATAGAGGCAACAACAGACCGTGCAAAGGCAAGCAAAAAGAAAGCAGAAGTGTCAATGTCAAACAAAGCAAAATTCAAGGACAAATGTGTAAACAAGACATAGAAGAATATTGTGTGATAATAAAAGTTGCAACCCGCCAAGAAGATATAACAGTCATAAAACTTTATACAACAAGCAACATAACAGCCAACTGCATAAAAGAAAAACACCAAAAATACAAGAAGAATTTGAAAATGTGTATAAACTCCTGGTGGGCACTTACTACGTCTGTTTCAGAAGTCAGTGGGTCAAATAGATTTTTTAAAGTAATGATATATAGGACTTGAATGATTCAATTTTATTTAATAATTACAGAACTTTTTTTTTCTTCTTTTGATACCAGAGACTGAACCCATTGGTGCTTTACCACTAAACCATATCCTTTTTATTTTGACACAGGGTCTCACTAAGTTTCTTAGGGCCTTGCTAAATTGGGAGGCTGGCTTCAAACTTGCAATCTTCCTGCCTCAGCCTCCAGAGCTGCTGGAATTACAGGCATGTGCCACAATGCCCAACAGAACTTTATTTCTTAAACACTGAGCATATACTTTTCTTTTGCTCTTATAGTTATGAGAAAATTTTTATAGGCCATATTCCCTAATAATAATACCCCAAATTAGAAGACAGTGGGGGGAAATAGTCATAAAAATTTTTAACTGTTCTATAATCTAGAAAATATCTCCCAGATAACCCTTGAGTCTTTAAGGAAATGAACGTTGAAAAGACACATTATTTGGGGTGGGGGGAATGCAGCAAGAAATACGCAAGAAATGTGCATATGCACACATCTCATAGTAAGTTCAGAAGAAAACTTGCAGGTTTAAAGGCTTTTCTTTTTGATGTTCCTATAAAGATATTCCTCTCTTCTCCAAACACATCGTAATGCATACAAAACAACAAGGGATACAAGAAATACCTCTACGGCATCTCTACCGAACAGAAGCGTGAAACTGTGGGAGATAGGAGCCTCCAGCCTGCTGGACTCCATCTGGATCCCAAAGAATAACATGACTCCTGCAGGGTAAAGGGGCATAAGTATTCTCCAGGCAATACAGGAACCTAACTAAAGAGGAGTGTAATGAAGCCAGATGCTGGTAATGGGAGCCGCAGGTAGAGTGGACAGAGGTTATGTGGTAGATGTACATGGTAGAATACTATTCGGCTTGAAGAAGAAGGAAATATTATCATCTGCAACAATGTGGATAACTGGGAGAACACAGACAAGTTCCACATGAAACCCCTGATATGTGGAGTGTGAAAATGGTTACCAAGGACTGGAGGCAAGGAGATTGGGGAGATGTTGGAATATTGTGTGTGCATGTGTATGTGTGTAAATGTAATACATATATGCAAAGTTGAAAGAGTAGTCTCATTTTACATTTTTGCAAATCTGCCTTATGTCCAACTTAATTGAAAGCAGATGGATTTTTCATATCTGTTCCTACATTCACTCTGTTATGATATGTAATTTTGGTTGAAATACATTTTTAAAAATGTTTTCCCCTACATATGCAGTTGGAAAAAAAGAAGAAAAGAGAACAATTAGCACCTTTTTCAGATAATTTTTGATGCTATACCAAAAATCAAACAAGAGGTGGTTTCTTAAATGTTAGCTGTGGCTTGGAATCTGAAACCATATTGATTAGTTTTATTATAGTTTATTAAATTGAAATTCATTTGTTATGTTATTTTCTGAGTTTTAG